AATAAATAAAGTATTGTGTTGTATCCTTGGATCATGTCCTTTCAGTTGTGGGTCGAGTTCAACCACACACAGTTTACCTTCTAGAGGGAAAAAAAACCCATTCCTAGATAAAGATTTTATTTTGTTTCAAAACCAACAAACTTTATAAGCAGCTTTTATCAGCTCTGGTGACTATATACGTGCAGTTTTTATGTCCTGTAACCACTGACATTTTTCGTATTTTACAGAGTTTCAAAATAAAGGTCCAAACAAAGTGCCTTGTGGCTGCTGAATGTGAAGGCTTGCTTCAAGAAGGACTTTGGCTAGATTTATTCATGTTACATGATTATTTTAAAACTAGATGTCTAGTTAGGTGCTTGAATATTTTGTACAGTGAAAAATGCCTCGCTGTGGTAGTGAGTGCCACAATCCCAAAGTTTATTATGCTCACTGACATTTCTTTGTTTATTAGTGAATCATTACCCTTATTTCACTTCATATGCTGAATTATTATTGTTTCTATTAAAATCATCAAATATCAGTCATTCTCCGGGAAAAAGTGAAAATCTTCCAGAGAATCCTTCTGTAAACAGAAAAAGCTGTCCCACAGCTCTCCTTTGGATTTCTTGCTTTAGCTGGTGTGTAAATGGAGAAGCTCTAAGGATAACCCAGCTACCACAGAAATTCAATTTCAGGATCCCAGGAAAGTCCACAGTTAAGAAATATTCAAAAGGCCTGAGTCAGATGTTTGGATTTCCTGAGATCCCACACTTCAGATCAAGAGCCAATCTACAGGGCTAGAAAATGCAGCTAACCCAAAGTGAATAAAATCATAGTTAATGTTAACCGATGATGGCTCCAAGAGCAACTCAATCCCAACACACTGCCAGATTCAAATGTACAACAAAAACACAATTAAAACTTTTGCATGAGTATTAATAAGTGAAATTCTAATATTTCACTGTTACTTTCCCTAATCGCCTGGACGCTAATCTGATAATTAGCACTAATTAGCAGATCTCTGCCTGTGTGTAGTGTATGTACAGTTTATAGTCGCAACTTGCTAATCAAACTTGTAATATAATAACAAATATAAGCAGATAACCTCACTACCTCTTCTCATCCAAAAATGCTAACTTCCAGCTTAAATGTGGAGTCACATTGCCTGCATCTATCTTTTATATATAGTTTGTAGCTCAGACATCGCCAAAATTCTTCTGAAGGCGTTATCAGAGTTTCTAGCTAAATTAACATGAAAACATAAAGGAAACGAGATGACAGCATTTTTAATACTAGGTCTATGAGTTCACTGTCGTGGTGATGACACTGAATAAAGTGCTCGTTATCACTTGGAGGTGCTAAGATGTGACAAAGAGACCCGTTAGCCTTTTCAGTTGCCCAATAGTTCTCCTTGGCTCACCTTTCATAGGGGAACCTTGAGGACCTCCAGTGGACACCACTACCACCCCCATACCAGGCCCTCTGCGGTATGGGAAGTTCTCTGGGCTATACTTTTCACTGATCACCTCGACAAAGGTACGGCCATCCTTATCCTCTGGTGGCTCCATAGCTCCTTCCTGGTGCGCAGCCTCCCCTTCAGCTGCCCCACAAACAAAGCAAACACTCCCAGCAATTAGCTGCAAGCATATGCATATTTTAACCAGCCAATGCTACAACACACACTTATTTTTATTCACTGATTCAAATGCAAGGATTTCTGAATAACCACTACATCAGTTGACCTATAAAACATGACAAATGCACAAAGCAACATACTGAAGTCTTCTTGTTTTGGTGCTGAATTTACAGGCACACAAAAATGAGGCAAAATTCTGATATTCCAGGAACTGAAATCAGAAAATCTTTTACATGGGTGTCATAAAAAAATTAATTACTCATCAAAAAATAAATAAATAAATCTATTAACTAGATAATTATTGCAGCTCTGGTCCAGACTGGCTTATACAATAAATTCCATGGATTTTTAGAAGGTGACTGGAAGCTGGACTTAAAGCTTAGTAATAGTGTGAAAAAGCTTTAATAACCCAAACAAGCTATCATAACTAACAGAAATCAAAAGATGCAGCTGCCTAGATTCATAATAATGTAATGTAACAATGTACACTGCAGCCACAGCGTTATCTCTACTGAAATGAAAACCTAAAACAGATCTTGGGTAATGTTACCATAAAAATCCACATAAACTGAAGAAAAAGTAAAAATTAAATTGGTGGTAATATGGTAATTCACTCATACACACTCAGACATCTGAAACCCCTTTTTTAAATATTACATTTATACAAACTACCTATACAGCAAAGCAATCACTGTGAGAAATGCACAATTCAATTCAATCAAAACACAGCGCCAAATCACAACAACAGTCGCCTCAAGGTCCTTTCTATTGTAAGGTAGACCCTTCACTAATACAGACAGAGAAAAACCCAACAATCATATGACCCCCTTTGAGCAAGCACTTTGGCGACAGAAAAACTCCCTTTTAACAGGAAGAAACCTCTGGCCGAACCAGGCTCAGGGAGGGGCGGCCATCTGCTGCGACTGGCTGGGGAGAGAGAAGGAAGGCAGGATAAAAGACATGATGGGGAAGAGAGCCAGAGATTAATTCAATAGCTGACAACACCAGACTGAAGGTATTCAGTTATATTCAAGGAGCTTATATTTGAACTTAGTGCGCTGCACTTAGGTGGCAAGAAAACCAGCAAAGCCATCCGAAAGACACAACCAGAATAAACCAAAACACACAGAGCCAGAACATGAAGGAGCAGTTAGAAACAGGAGGGAGATTAAATTAGCAGATGAAGACAGCAGAATTCATAAATAAGGTGCGCTGGATTATAAGGGGCACTGTCGATTTTTCAGAAAATCAAAGGATTTTAAGAGCGACTTATTTTCTGAAAAACACGGTAATAAGAAGTTCCACATCACTGAAGTTGCACAATTTTTACAAACCAATTCTGATTCATGTCTTTCATTCAATGATCCGCTTTCGCCCTTCTCATTCTCCGTCGCCACCATGCTTTTTCTGCCATGTGTGTATGAAAACAACGGCACTGCAGATGAATGTTTTACCCATATTCTATAACAATATTTCATTTTCTTATCATTCCCTAACATCATACCGGTATTACCGTGAACGGTATGATATGGCCCAGTCCTAAAATACACAATAAAAGACTGAGACATACACAAAGAACAAAAATACAAAAGAAAAGAAAAATCTAATTAACAACAGAGAACAAAACCAGTAACTGCAGAAAAGCAGAAAATGCCTACAGTCACATGTAAATGAAAGAACAATTGCCATTTTTTAATTTTTGCTAACCAGATTACCTCTGCAATCACCTTGCAACTGAAGGTGGTTGCCCAGAGTTTTCAGGTTTTAAATGCTTGTGTAAAAAAGACCCAAACACCAGCTTTTCCTTGATTCGTTGAGTTACCTGTAATGTTTTTGCTTGTATCACTGAGCAATTAATACAACAGTTAAAGATTAGACAAGAACTTTGACAGTTTGTTGGCTAATTTTCTCTCAACTAATTGTTTTAACTAACAGATATCAGATGTGATCAAATCATTAACCAAGCAATTACCATATCATATCTATAGCCACAGATTTATTAGTGGAGTGCAATGGATTCAAGCTCCAGACACAATAGAAGCTCAGCTGTCTTCTTGCTCTTGACTGACAAACACCAGTCCAATAACATCCTATCGAGAAATTCCACAAGCAGTTCTGCCACTCAGTGAAACTTCCTCACATCACATTTCAGCTATTTATGTGCAATTTTACTAGAACCACAACATAATCACGTTGAACATGACAGGCTCACAACTGTTCACATCTCCTTAATGACACAAATGTATCCAGGCGGACAAACATCTACATTTCTTGATAAAAGAGTTACAAAATGACAATTAGATGACAGGACACAAGCAGGTTTCCTCCTCTCTTTATCAGCAGAGCACAGAGACATTGACCTGTTTAAATGTCCTTAGATTTACCCAAAAAAGAGGAACAAGAAGGCAGTCTATTTCTGCTGAACTTTTTAAAATTAGAAAAAAGACTGTTTCTGCTGAACGTTTAAAATTAGAAAAAGAAAAAGTAAAGAAGTGCTTTCTTGATCTCACTCAGCACTCAAGGCTTGGTGGGCAGAGCCTCACTGTGGAATCTGCTGCAGGGAAGCATAAATTATGTAGTGGATTAGACAAAATAAAA